CCGTACTATATATATATATATATATATATATATATAATATATATACATATAATTATGAAAACTCACCTGAAGTATTGCATGAACAGGTCGTCGTCCTTCTCCATGCGATCGCGAGGTCGTCCCAATCGCTCGGCCGCAGCGACGCCATCTTGTACGCGTCGCGTGCCGTGTACTCGAGCTGCCACTCGACGTCGCCACCGGCGCTGCGGTTCAGCTCACTGAATGTGGCGACGTCGAGTCGAATGGTCGAGCACGATGTGCGAGCTCGCCGCGTGAGCGCCATCTAGTGTGTAGACGCGGTAGCCGATGTTCATCTGAGTGTAGGGTGTCAGCGACGGAGCGATGTAGGCGACGGCGGTGGCGCGCCGCGGCTGGTCCTCCGCCGCCGCGTCGTCGTAGAACAGCTGGAAGTGGTCGCGGTGCGTGTGTCCGAAGAACTGAGCCCTCACCGTGCTCTCGTACCTGCAGGACGGGGGGAGACGTGTACAGTAGTAACACGGTTAAACAAGAAGAACTGAGTTCTCACTGTGCTCTGACGTTCTTACCTATTGATTAACAATGAAACGAAATCAGAAGAAATTGAATTACGAATCTTATATAGCAATTAAAATGGTGAGAGCATTTACAAAATATAACGTGCGGCCATTACTCCCGTATATTCTTACTTGTTGATTATCTTATAGTAGTTGTTACTCCACGCTTTTAAGCAGTCATTAGTTCCTGGTGGAATGTGGCCGATAATATGGACCTCAAATTTATACGGGCAGATTTATTACCAAATTGATGCTAACAGAACATGTATTTAAAAATAGATTAAAACTTAAACAACACTCAACCCAATATTTTTGATATTTGACTTAAAATTATATATAAACGTTGAGTATTTTTCTGGTCATTTATAGTCCGAGGTAAAGTATAGCTGGCTTTCCTGGATTTAATTAAAGAAACATGGTCTGGCACTTACAGGTAGGGGAGACCGGGGCTATAGTTGTATACAGGGGCAGGTTGATATACAGTGGCTTTAATTTCAGTATAGAACTAGAGCACTCGGAGAGCACAGACCTCCGCCAAGGCAGCTGAATTCTCTCAATGTGAAATTTTTTATTAATTAATTAATTAATTAAGTGGAAAAATTAATTAAGTAATTAATTAATTGGATCCGGATTAGTGCGAGCGTGCAGGTGGGGGGAGGACTGTGGTTGCCCCTAGCCTGTGGTTGCGTGTTTGTAAGTCTACAGCCAGCGCACCTAGCGGAAGTGAACTGAAACGTGCAAACCCACAAACCAACACTCAAACACAAGCCGGTGAGAAATAATCTCCGCCAAGCCCCTGGCGGAGGTAATAATAGTTGGCGCCCTGCTTCACAGGGCATGCATGCTGCTATGCAGCGCAGGTCCTGTGAAATGCACCCCTTGAGTAAGCATTCCGGTATTCACGAATATTCTTTTATACTTTTTAGTAGAGTTCGATTGAATGACCTAATTACGTGATGAAGTAAAAATATCAGGCTTGCGTACATATAAAAGAAAAAACAGATCGTACTGAGTGGAGGTTAGAGCTGGATCAGCACTGGCATAGACATTGACTTAATTAAGTCTTTTCTAAGGGTATAACATAAGGTGTTCATATAATAATTTGATAGCCTATCAAGGGCCATATTTGATGAAGGCCTACACCGTATATCTTTATATTTAGTTCCTTAACTTGTTAAGCTAATTTTCAGTTAGATATACTACACTATATTAAATTTTCATTGTTGTAACATATTGCCCGTGGCTTGTAACAATATGCCCCGTATACGGGGCAAGTTGTATACACAAACTTTTGTGCTTTTTCCCAAAAATGAAAGAATTTGGGAATCTTTTTTGGTGATTATAGTAATAATGATAATAACCTTTAAAGCTACAGACACTGTTTTACGTTATCTCGTATAGTCTTTGATGGGCAGGCAGAAATCTGAAAATTGTAACAACTAGCCCCGGTCTCCCCTAATATGCGTCGACAAAGCATGGCCCAAACTACGAGAACCCCAGAGCTCACGTAAATGCCAGGGGGCTGTTGTCAGAAACATCGCAATGTTAAGACTAATTTTGTTTCTGACAACGGCCGCCAGATCCTGATCC